TTTTTTTTTTTTTGAAGATAATCAGATCTACACATTACATTACGTTAGAAAATGTTGATTACAATAACGGCGTAGTGCATCCAACTCATGGCTGCAACCCAATGAGCTGCTCTGTTAAGAGCTCTCGGCTTGTGAACAAAGCTTAAATTAAACGCTTTAGCAAAATTGCGAATATCACTAACAAAAGCATTGATCTCCCATGGAGGAGCATCTTTCGAAACACACTTCTTGATTAACTCTAGGTTGTCATTAGAAACAGTAGCATCACGAAGCCCAGAAGCAGAAATTAAGAGACAAGCTTCTCTTAGTGCAGCTGCTTCGGAATAAAAACTGGATACTTGAAAGATAGTTTGCCAAATATGGTAAAACTTGCGTGAAAAATAGTTTTGTAACCGAAATCAACGATTAATTAATGATTGATAGCTAGATAGTCTCTTTAGGAAAATATATTTTCAAAGTCATAAACAATAAAGTTATCATGTAACGCTCGGGGTCAATTGCAAAAGCTGTAATTGGCTGCATATTTCAAATATCATTCAATGAGTAAGGTGGCCACAGTACGTAGGGTTGATTTTTTGGAGGTGTAAAAATGAAGCAGTTTTCAATAAGAAGAAACCTAATCCAGTGATGGATATTTCTCCACCACAAAGTCTGTGGGGAGATTTCAGCTCCATAGGGAGTAGAATGCCGAGTAGCCCTCCAACAGCAACTATTGACTCTTCAGCAACCAACTCATGGGTTCCTCTTGCAAGTGACCAGCTGAAACTTAATTGCGATGAAGCTTTCAAGCAACACCAACAACAATCAGCAATTGGAATTGTGATCAGAAATGAAAGAGGCATCTTACTAAACGGAAAAGCTATGCAAATCCCAGCAGTGTCAAGCTTATATGCAGAAGCAGCGGCGGTACGAGAAGCAACTGTGATGGCGCAAGTCTTTGGACTGAACAGAGCAATTGTAGAGAGTGATAACTTGCAGGTAATAGTACTTTGTACCAATGAGGATGATCCACCATGGGAAATATGGCCTTTTATCAAGGATATTCGGATATGTGTGAGACAATTGCAACTATATTTCTACTATACACCTTCAGCTTTTAACAATGCGGTTCATTGGGTGGCAAATGCTTGTCTACCTCTATATCTACCATTATCTTGGGTAGATGGCCAGCCACAAGAATTAGCAGATATTTTATCAAAAGATTGTAATTACTCTTTTCATGAATAGAATGAAAATTTTGTTTGTGATAAAAAAAAAACAAAGATTTATAAAGTGTTGTAACTAGTTTCATCACCCTTTTTTTTGTTTGTACATTATTGAGTTGGCCATTTAAGCAATGAATTTGAACATATCGAATGTGATAGATGCAGAATATATTAGCCTGTGCGAATTGTGTCGGGTGAGGCGAATTCTTGTCAACAAACAAATACTCCACTTATATTCAATTCGTTTATTAATTCATGTCTAATGAATTGTATTATATTGAATTCGTGTCGTGTATGAACCGTGTATAATTGGTATATAAACGAGTCATATTGTGTATTGATTGACTTCACATATACCCAATTTGTTTATTAATCAACTCATGTTAGGTCCAAGTTTATTAAACGGGTAAATTAAAGAAGATTGTGTTAACGGTCGCGTTATATTTTGATTGAGGAGACGACAATGACCATGCTTACGCCATACAAATCCCCATACCTTTTGTAATTTTCTATTGCTATATGATCACTCTCTTTAAATCCCTATCTCTCCCTCTCCACCCACTTGTGTGTTTAGTGATTATACTGTCATAATAATCACCATCATTAGAACAAATATTTAGTACATGTTTGTTTATCGGGTTTGGTACGAATTTGGAAGGAGATTTAAGAAAAATAATTTGATAGACCACTTAATTTTATATTTGATTAAGACTTTTAAACCTGAAATTCATATCCCGGCCTGCAATAAATAGTGCATTAGAAGCCAAATATGGGGATTTATTGAAACCCATAAGAGTATAGGTTTTAAAAGTATATGATTGAATTTAAAGATAAAAAGATTATTTTACCCAAAAAATTATTTTTTTATTCACCTAATAATAAAAATTTTAGTAAATTAAGTAATATGATTTGACATGAATATATGGATTCCACATATATTAATTTCACCTACCAAATATAGGGTGAGATTGAATTTTTGATTGAATCTCATGTAGAAATCTCTTGGATTGAGTTTAAAACTAATCAAATTCCCCCGACGTGGATCATCCAAACATGTCCTTAAGGAGCTGTTTGGTATGCGGGTTTGGGGGGGGGGGGGGTTTGGAACATGGGTTGAGGACTAAACTCTCTTAAATCTATGTTTGATAATTACGGATTTAGCCTAGAGTTTGAAATATGGCCCGGTCATGAAACCCTTATTCATGGGTTTCGTGAAACCCATGGGGGTGAGTTTAGCGGTTTCACATTCAAATGATATTTATACCCTCATATATTCATATTTATGTTTGGATTAAATTAGTTAAGGGGCATAATTGTTATTTAAATAAAAAAAATATTATCATAATAGTCATATATCCTTGCACATATCAAACATGAGTATGAACAATATTAAATATTGAATCCCTTCTTTAAATCTCATCTTTGGTCAAACCCGAGTTTGGATAAGTTAATCCAAACCCTTCCCAAAAAACATATCAAACAGGCCCTAAGGATCAGGTCAATAGGTCACTTGTTCAACTATTGGATTACTAATCGAACGGGTTAAATAATAAAAAATAATAATAATTATAAATAATAATTAATAGACTAAAAAATCACAATAAATTATGATAATAATAACATGTAAAGTTAAATACAGATACATAAGGCAATAAATTCAACCTTATCTTATTTCACAACATAAAAAAGCACCACATATCTAAAATCAATTTCAAGCCTAAAATTTCTAGTATCAATAACATCCCAACAATATTGTAACCCACAAAAAAAAAATGAAACCCACAAAGTGTACATATTACTATTAGATAGAGTAAAGAAACTAAGATCAAACTCAGATCAACCCAACAGTTCTGAAAATATAGTATTATCAACTGTCAATTATCAATATTCAATGTATATAATATAACTCACAAAAAAAATGCAACCCAATGTAAAAAAAATAGCATTATCAATTATCAAAATTCAATATATACAAAATACAGATAAACAATCAAATATATACTAAGTGAGAGGGAGAGAGAAAGAAAGTAGAGTTAGTAGACAGTAGTATACCTGTTGCGGTGCTTGGTGGTCGTCGTCGATCTGTTACCTCGATGTAGATGGAGCTCTGAAGTAGTGAAGGTGAAACAACTTTATCCTTTGAAGAAGTTTAGGGATCAAAAGTTCCCTCCCCTTCGATTTGAGTCTTCGATCGATTCTTCATCCTCGCAGTGAAGGTGAAGCAGAGACCGGAGATAGAGACAGACCGATGAGAAAGAGAGAGAGAGAGGGGTAGGGCTGTCAAAATTTGACATGACACGATTAACAGATACGAATCGACACGAATTAAGCGGGTTTGGGTGATAAACGGGTTGACACGCCAAACACGTTTAATAAACGGGTCGTGTTCGGGTGAGGCCTGTCAATCAGTTTATCACATGTTTACCTGTTTAAATAAAATTAATATAATAATAAATTAATAATTATTTTAAAAAATTAGTAAGAAAAAAAGAAATAAAGAAATCAATAAGAAAAAAGAAGTAAAATAGTAGTTCAAAAACAAAAAAGAAGGGATGAGGAACACTTCAAAGACAAAGACAAGTCTTATTTGTCCTACATTGAAAAATGATGGGAGATGGGAAGGGTTGAGTTGTCTATAAAAAATAATAGCCTCTTACTTTTTCTTTTTTTTTAAGTTTTTAAGTCTTATTTGTCCCACATTGAAAATTGAGGAGAGATGGGGAGGGTTGAGTTGCCTAAAAAGCAATGACCTCTTACTTTTTTTTTTTTAAGTTTTTAAGTTTTATTTGTCCCACATTAAAAAATGAGGGGAGATGAGGAAGGTTGAGTTGCCTATAAAAAGCAATGGTCCCTTACCTTTTTTTAAGTCTTCAAGTCTTATTTGTATCACATTGAAAAATGAGAGGAGATAGGGAGGATTGAGTTGCTTATAAAAAATAATGACCTCTTACTTTTTTTTTTTAAGCCTTCAAGTCTTATTTTTATGAGATTTGACTAAAAAATCTTCTTTTTTGAGGTAAGTGCAATTGACAATAAAAAAAATGGAGTATTAAAATTTGTTAATATAATTTTTTTAAAATTAAATGGGTTAAACGAGTCGTGTCATATTACCCGTTTATTAAATAAGTCGTATTCGTGTTGAGATTTTTTATCTGTTTATTAAACGTATCGTGTACGGATTTATATATTTTTCACCCGTCACCCGTTTAATCCAACACGTTTGACACCCCCAGAGAGGGGTTGTTCGCTTCTTTGTGAATATGGGGGCTAGTTGGGGAAGAGAAGGAATGATTAGGGCTGAACGACAAAAATGCTCAAAAGTGCCCCCAAAATTAATTTTTAAACTAAATAAAAAAAATGCAGCCGATTTAGCGTAGTCTTCCAGTTTAATGTTTTTTTTATCGATTTTGCACGTTTCTCCGGGTTTACTCTAGTTTTGGTGCATAACTGATCCAATAGATTAACTGGCCCGATTTAGGCACCGGTCCACTAGGTTGACCCGTCGGGCTAGGCCGAATTTTAAAACACTGATTATAGCTGCATAATAGAGAAAATGTTAGACGACGGTAACACCACGTTATCATTAATACGTTGTATCACTATTCAATAATAAATAAATAGACAAGGTAAACTCCACTTGGGTGGTTATTAAATGATATGACAAAGTAGTTATGAAAAAATACGGGATTCACCAGTCTACATATTATCTTATTATTGAACGATTACACCATGTCAGCATGATGACATGGTGTAACGGTTATACCAAATATTTTTTTCCAAAAAAAGATGCGGACCGTAAATTTTAAACTGAATAATCTACAACAATTGATTGAAAAAATAATACATAATAAAGCATTATCATTGATCAAAAAGTAAATGTCCGGTACCAAAAAATGCATTTGGATATGAATAATATCATACTTACTAAGTTTTTTATTTTAAATAATATGACACAACCTCTATCATTGAATATTAATGACACCCACAATCACATCACTTGGGATTAAAAAATTTTGGTGAGCGTAACAATATTGTTTCGGAATCTAATACGCCCTTTATTTAAGTGGAATGAGTAAAAGCTCCAATGTGTGTATGGAAGTGGGTCGGTAAAGAGCCGGACCGGGCCTTCTGGCCCACCCATTAATAGTTAACGTGTGGTCGCGGGCCCCTTGGCCAGGCAACAGAGTAAACCTTTCCATCGGTCGGTCCTTACGTTTTTGCGGGTTACTTATCATGCAACTTGGGCCCAATTTTTCTATTTTTTGTTAAGCTATTATTTATTTCTTTTCTTTTCCAGAAAGTATATTTATTTGTTTTTTTGTTCAATTCAAACCGGGTCAATGGGTTCAGCTGCAAGACTTGATCGGGCCATCACAATGGGCCAAAAGACTCAAAAGTTTTGTAACTGGTCCGCCCAATTTGTGATCGGATGGGGCAACTTGTCATTTCATTCCCCCAACCTAGAGAGGTTCCTCCGAATAAAATATTACGTGAATAAGACTATGATATCCAAAAAAAAAAAAAAATTATTAATATAATTTCAAATGATTTTGAACCATTATTCGTTTAATTTAGATATGATTATTAATTACTAAAATAATAAATAAATTTTTTTTAACATATTAAATTTTCATTACACAAATATAGAAAATATGAGATTGAAAAACAATTGTAAGTACGATTATGATTTTTGAAGTTATGATATCGAAAATTGTATTATACTGAAAATTATAAATTTTTGAGGCTAAATTATAATCTATTGAGGGTCCAAGTTAAAATTTAAAAAATCATGATCAATCATAAAATATTTTAATTTGTAAAAATATCTTTTAACAATTAAATTATACTTTTTGAAAATAAAATTGATCACAAATAATTATAATTTGCTCTTTAAAAGATACTATTTAGTCTTTAATAAAAATATTTTTAATACGATACAAATTTTTTTTTTATTAGTAGCCTTCTCCATGTAATAAGAGGAGAGTGTATGTGTGACCTAAACAACATTTGTTTGTGGGGTTATATATGTTAATTGTGCTGGGTTTTAATAAATTTGTGTAAAATATTATTTTTTAATATTTAATTTATTTATTAATTTATGTCTAATGAATCGTGTCATATTAAGTTTATGTTGTGTATAAATTATGTATAATTGNTTAGAGGAACAAGCTGAGTTGCAACAAGCCATTGAGCTTCAAAGCCGGAGACTGATGAGTCTGCAGCTTCTTGATGTGAAGAGGCATAGCCATCACCGGACTCTCTCCACCGGTGCTGCCATTCCTTCTCCCACACACTCTCCGAACTTTCTCAATCGGACTATGTTTAGTCCTTCAGATACCAGCAATTTGGAAGTGATAGAAGGTATACCTCATTATTCTCTTAGGCCATTAACAGTACTTATTTCAGCCTGAATTATTGCTTATTTGAGGTTTAGTTCAGCATTTTATGTAGTTGAATTGAGATTAATACATTTTGTTTTTCTTGCAGAGAATGGTTCAAGTCCGGTAATGGCCGCTCCTGCAACCAATCAGAACTTCCCACAAAGTGCAAATGTGAGTGACAGAGAGAGAGACTTTTCAACTCTGAGAAATGAGAATGGCAATGGCAAAAAAAGCTTTACCAAGGAAGAAAATAATTTGCCAGAAAGGTGAGAATTTTTCAAATTCAGATCAGGATAAAGGCCACCCGAAATAGGAATTCCCACTTTTTACAAAGATTTGTATTAGATTTGAATTGTAATTTTTACAATTTATTGGGTTTCTTCTAAGCATCTAAAATTTTGCAATTAAATGTGTAGCTTGGAGCACAACCTCCCTGATAGTCCCTTTGCATCTCCTAAAGCTGCCGGAGATTACTTGACGGCTTTCTCGAATGCTGCCGGTGAGGCCAACAAGAATGCCGCTGTTTTAGCACCTGCTTCTGTTAACAGTAACTTGATTGCTTCATCGTTACTACCTGCTACTTCCACATTGGATATTGCTTCCTTCAAATCTTGTTGCTTCCAAGCTCCCAGGTGCCTCTTTTCGCTCCCGGGATTAATAACCTCTTGTCGTCATAAGTATTTATATACTTCAACAATACCAAAGTACCATGAGTGTATTAAATTTAATTATTGCTTTGATAAATGTATGGCTAATGGTTGTGGTGCAGGTTCTCTTCTGGTCATGGAGCCATTGGAATGTAGGGCTGGGCCGCTGGGCCCGGGTTGAGCTTTAGCTTGATTAGATTAGGTAAGTGATTACTATCATTGCATTATTACACCTAATCCGACAAATTTTATTCTCTTCACGCACCTCCTTATTGGAATATGTTTTTTTAATGAGGTTAGGTACTTTGTTTTTGGCTGTTTTTGTGGCATTTTTACAGGAAGAAGATTTGATAAACATGACCCAACACCAAAAACTCATTCAAATTTCTAGAGAAGTCAACACCACCTCAAATCATCAACATCATCAATCATAAATTCTATACTACTTACTACATAATACAAATGCATAGATAAAAGGCAGTGAAGGAAGTGGGTCCAGCCATTTTCTCTCTCTTTGTTGTACACTATTTTCAGTCTCTCACATATCAGTTAGCTGAGGTTGGACCACAGGAAACAAATAGTACAGTAATCAAAGGGTTCAGTGTAACAGTAGCTCCAGAGATTAATTTTCTTCCCTTTTTCTCTCTATTCATGGCTTCCCCAGTGTATATCATGGAGGACCCATGTGTAGTTTGTGTTAGGCTGTGTTGTTACCCTTTAGGAAAGATCATTGATGTACAGCAGAAGCAGATACCAGAAGATCAAGAAGAAGAAAAAAGAAGTGATAGCATATTTTGTAACTACAAAGACTGTTTTGGTACTCAAAAAGGTAAGTGGGGTGTTTAAACAGGGGTGGAGAAGGAGGGTATGGAAGGTAAATAGTTACATCTGTTCAGGTACTACAGAAATGGTATCTTTTATGACTGTTGTTGTAATTGTTATGATTACTATTACACTATCAACCTTTAGATTTGTAGACAGAAAAAGAAAGTTTAGAAATGAGAAAGAGAAATAGAAAGGTGTTTTTATTCAGATTGGTCTCTCCCCCCAAATCCCTGCGACTCTTTTGAAAGATTTCTCTGTGTTCACAATGAAAAAGTTCACCAAAAATTGTATCAGTGAATTTTATTGAACTTTTTAGGGCTTCTAGTCTAACCATCTAGGACTCATTTGGGAAATTTTCTAGTTAATAATTTTTGGTAAAGATGAGTGTTAAGTTGTGTAAGCCATATTTACAATAATTAAAGCCTTTTGACATAAATTTTTTGTAGTGACAATATTCACCGTCACAATGAATGAAGCGTGTCTTGGATGAGAGATTTTTTGTAGCGATAGTATTATAATGAATAGTTTATTTGTTGGGGGTAAACCCTACTTGAATAGGATCTTTGTTGTAGCAAAAATTGTTATTGACTTTACAACAAAAAATTGTTATAGACTTTATTATGAGAGTATGTCTCGTCATAATAAGTAGTGTTAAAATTTTTTGATAATGATAATAACTGTCTCAAAAAATATATATGACAGTAAATAAATAAATGTTTTATGACAATGTTACTGTCACCCGTGAACTTTCATTGCGTCTCAAAAACACAAGAGGGAAAAGAGAGGAAGATGAGTGAAAAACAGGGCACAATCTCACATGGGTGCTGACAGCTCCTCACTTATTATCGTTTGCCAGTTTGATTGTGGTGGACCAGCAGCCATGTGAGTGATGCCATTCACTTTACTCTCTCTCATGTTGTGCGCAGAGAGAGAGAGAGAGAGAGAGAGAGAGGGGGGAGGTGACAGGAAAGGACAGGCACAGATCTGAAAGTGGATGTGATACCACACGAATGACAAAGGTAACATGGTGCAGGAATCTTTTAGGGGCTGTGGCCTTGTGAATGTGTTTTGTTCCCTTTTTTTAAAAAAAAAATTTATCTGCTTTACAATCTTTTTGACAATGGCATCGGAAGTCGTAAGTAATATAAACTGTAAATTGAAACCATTTGTAACCTTAAGTGTGTTTAAATTTTGATAATTTTTAAAAATTTTATTATTAAAATTTTATTTTTGATAAATATTTTAATTTTTGTGTGAATAATCTATTTTTACCCCGATCAAAAAAAAAAATTAGACAAGACGCGTAAGTGAGCTCAAACAATTTTGACCGTTACAATGAAAAAAAAAGTAAGAAAAAGTTGTGGAGGGAGGGAGATATAAAAAAGAGAAACACCCTAAAGTAGATGTGCACGAGAGCCATCGTGTTGTGGTTTTTAGACAAGTGGGGTTTTTTTATTTTATTTTTTATTTTGAGATCATATTAGAATTAAGTTGAATAAATTATACTTTGACTCCCTTAATTATAGTCTCGACCTTATATTACACTTTCGATTATAGTTATTGATCTAACATTGCTACTTCACTCTTATTGCATCACATTTTATCTCTGATTATGATTTTTAGTTCTTACATTATTCTAATTTCAGACATTGCAATCATGCATTTTATTGTAGGTGAATATTTTTTCATCTAAATATGGCGGACGGTTGATTTTGGGGTAGTGTAAAATTAATTCAAGTGGTGGAGAGAGAGTAATGTGAGAAACTCAATAATTTAGTAGGCAAAGTGAGACTAGTAGTAATTTAGAGGTCAAAGCATAATTTTTAGGATAAATTATAATTTATACCCTTAAAGTATGCTCTTAATTACTATTCTTCCTTAAAGTTTCAATTGCCAGAAGTAAAGTACCGAGAGTTTTACTTGAATTTCAATTTAGTTTTTACGTCACAATTTATTAATTTATTACGATGGAATGGCCTTTTGTAACCAATATATGTCTCGGTTAAAGAGATGATCAATGCTATTGAGATCTAATTTATTGAACTAATTTGCTGACTTAATTCATTATGATCTTTAAATTGATTATGGGGCATAGTAAACATTAGAATTTGACGTTGATACAATAATTCTACTGAAGCCACATCACTATTGTCAACAAATTAAGTCAGATTTTTAATTCCAAATAGCATTACTTTAAAGAGATATATTGGTCTGGTGAAAAATATGCTACTTGTAGATTAAAAAATCTTATTTTATTTTATATGATTTTGAGAGGCCCAAAAAAAAGGATAACAAACCGAGAAAAAGATATGAAGTCAAAAGTTTGAGAGATATTATGAGACAAATAGAGAAATATCAACGTATTTGAGAGATATCTTTTGTTAAACAAATATATCCTAGACAAGTCCTCGGATATCTTTGCAATGGAACAAATTAATAAATATAGATGAAAATAATTAGATTGAAACTCGGTTAAACATTTAGGATGTAATTATTTCAATTAAAACTTTAGAAACTAAATAGAAATTATGTGCATATTTTAAGAATATAAATTATAAATTATCCTGATTTTAATTTAGTAAATATTGGATTTAACTTTTATTTGAAACATAAAGGAATGTTTAATTTGGTGCAACAAGAAACTAATTTCTGTAGTTGAGAATATAATAAAAGAAACTTAATAGATTAAGTGGTAAAATGAGATTCGAGTCATAGTTAAAGAAGTCAAATTATAATTTCCGCTACACTCTCCACTTGCAAATAGGCATTTTAGCTATATGTAAGGAAATCGACTTTGATATCAAATGTACGATATTAAAATTTATAAGTTTTATGGGTTGAGATACAAGGTTTTAGAGTTTATTTACAAAAAAAAAAAAATCGGTCCTAAAAAATTTATTACTTTTTGGGTCATATTAAATTTTTAAGGTTCAAACTGTAATTTTTCAAAGATCAAATTACATTAAAAAGTTGTAAATGAGTCTAAAAGTATAAAAAAATTCTTAAAAACTTAGTTTATAAAATAAGTTAGTTACTCGAAATCCATCAGCCAGTTAATATTGCCCTTAGATGAGGAATCTTTTATTCTATGCTTTGTTCCTCAGCGTAGTTGTGAAAGCTTTATGGATGAAAATTAGTCTTTCAATAAGCTACAGTCTAACTAATTTCCTCTTATTACTCTATCAACTGACCGTGTAAGACACGAAATCTTAGACATCAGAAACTCTGTAAGATATTATAATTTTTTTTTGGGTAGGATAGACTGCTTCATTTTTGAGAGGACATCACGAGTATCTTTTAGCATTGTGATTAAGTAACCTTGACATTGAATCCTCTCCAATGCTAATCTTCTACATGACATTTGTTCCTCATCTTGACTATGGCAAGTAGAAATAAAGGTTATGGGCCCATTGCAATGAAAAAGCCCACGCAACATTGTTGTAGCACATACATGACTTTGGAAATATCTTTTCATCATTGATCATGGAAATATTGGCAAGTTAAAGTTCACCTCCCCTCAAGTCATGGTTCAAAGTACAGGTGTCAATTATATCGTATTGTGTTATTTTTGTGTCGGATCATTTTTGGTACGTGTTAGGTTCGTGTCAATATTCATATCAATAAAAAATTATTTAATTCTACAACAATTCATATAATACTATTTAAAAATTATAAAATTTTATTTTATGTCCACAATACTCATTAAATACTAATTTTTTGTCTATAATATCCGCTAATCGTGTTATTCGTGTCGCATCTTTTGATATGGTATTACTCCAAGTTTCGTATAAACTATAAATCTCTAGCAACTTGGACGAACTATCCGAGATATCTCTGAGTCAATCTCAAGCCATCTTAAGTCGTCACCAAATTAACGAATACCTTTATGTAGTCCTGCAACGTAGCATGAATTTCGCATCATGTTCAACTCTTTCTATAGAGCACTTCGTACATATCACCTGCTTTTTGATCGGTGTGTTTCAATATCCTTTGAGTTAATAACCGATACTATAACCTTCAATTATGTCTTTAAGCTGAGGTGGAAATAGAAGGCCTCCTACTCTGTCTGGTTTTCTAACTACCACCATCAAGGTCCTCTGCAGAAGAGTCACACAGTAACACAAAACTTCTAAATATCTTCATGTAAGGATCAATAGTAAGTTCTATGGACAATCAGAATTTGAACCCTTGAACTATGCCCTTCTTCTTACATTGCATCATTTTATTTCGTATTACACCTACAACCTTAGTCGAAAGTTTCACAATACCTCTCAACTGTTATGTTTCATGCATTGCATCTTCAACTATAGTTTATTAGTTAACATTGTCTCAATTGAAAGCATTGAAAACGTGTATTTTATTAAATATTTTGACATTTTCTGTCTATGGCTTTGAGGGAATGCAATACCAATTCAAGAGGTTGAAAGAACAATGTGAGTAGTTAAGGCCCTCTTCTAATAAAACGACATCGTTTTACTATAAATAGGGTATAATAATAAAAAAAAAAATATGAACCATACAATTCTTGTGATTTTGGTGCGATTTTCAGCCAAAAACGATTCTATAGTAAAATACAAATCAAATGGAGACAAAATTAAATTAAATCTTACGATTTTGATAACAATGGTTGAGAGGGCAAAGTAAGATTAGAGTCTACCCTATTTTCTACCATGGACAGAACAAAGAGATTCATGAAGAATGGAATCCTGAAGCTTTAATTCTATGAAGTATATAGGAATCCTGACTAGAGTTACAATGCTACATTTCAAAATTTGCTTGAGTTTACTCTTAAAAAAAGGAAAATAAATTTATATCCCCGATTTTTTTTCGCAGGCCAAGTATGAATATTTGTTGATTCACCACCAAATGTGAGGTAAGGTTCATTGGTTATCAATACAGAGAGGTATAGCACTCTTAAGACATTAAAAAGGTACAGGAGTACCCATACAAAGAGAAAAAATAAAGACAAAACAAACATTTAACAAGGATTAATCGCACTCTCTCCAGATATTTTTGTGTTTGACTGAACACGTCTATGGTTGGCGCATAAGAAAGTTGCTCCTTAAAACAACCCTCATGACAATCTGCAAACACCAACACAAAATAGGAAAGCTTAGAGAATACTGAATGGTAGGGGGCTGCTTACTAAGATGAACATCAGGTTTATTTTCACTATCATATATACCTTATAGTATTAAATCAATTTCACATTACTCTCGAGCATAGTGTATTTTTTGTTTTGGGCGGAAAATACAAACATGTCATTGGATTTGGGGCAATGTGACATGCACTTTAGTCATTTTTTCACCCAAAAGTGAACAGCCATTGGGGGTTCAGGGAAGTGCAAAACCATTTAGTATAAGATAGAGGAGGCAAAGTGTGGTCTAGATCATAGTTTTGGGTTGCAAAGTATAAGTTTTTCCCTTTTCTCATTTTACACCTTAAACCTTAGATGATTGAAGATAAAGCCAAGCAGATAAAAAGTAAGAGGTACGCATCATTACCTGAGAGAACAAAAACTGGGGATTGTCTCTGGCATCCTCCTCAAAAAGTTCACAGCTTTGCCCATGGATCCAATAACATCAATAATAACACTGGGAATGCTAGCAATCTACTCCTTTCTCCTTCAACGCCATTGTTTAATAAGCGGACAGTCCCTAATGGTCAGACTTGAAAGTGTAGCAAGTGTCCTCTCGTTAGGCAAGGAACGAAGATTGGGGCAATTGTAGATTTCCAGATGCTTGAGAGATGTAAGGTTTTGAAGCCCCATAGAGAGAGAATTAAGATTTGTGATTTTTCCAATCCGAAGGAATGTAAGAGCAGCAGGAAACACACACTTCCCTGGGAAGGAAAGTAGCTCTGGATATACGCCAGTCATCTCGAAGCGTTTAAGAGAATAGAGTCTGTGCAGGCCCCACTCTGATAGAGGCTTAAGGTTTTCACAGTTGCTGATATAAACTGTTTTCAGGTTGGGAGGCAAATTCCCATTAGGAAAGGACTCGAGACTTTGACAATCAGATATTCTCAACTCTTCAAGGGATGTAAGGCTTTCAATCTGGTTTGCAACGGAAAAGAGATTTGCGCACTTGCGGATAGAAAGTCTTCGTAGGTTAGGAGTGAGAAAACCGCTTCTTGGGAATGACTGTCCAATTTGATACGCCAAATAACATTCAAAATTGAGCGTGGATACAGATAAACTCTCCAAATTCGGCCAATGGCCTTTGTTCTGTTCAATCGTATCTGTAACTGACTCTAAGTTCCCGCAGTTAGAAATTCTAAGTATTCTAAGGGTGGATGGAAGAGTGTCCGTCGGCATGGATGCTAGAGACACGCAGTCATAGAGCTCCAACTCTTCAAGGTGAGAGATACAATTAGGTACAGACACTAGAGCACTGCATTCTCCTATCTCAAGACTTCGAAGCATAGGAGGGAGATTGGCATCTGGAAATGACTCAAGTTTCGGGCAATGTCTGATTCTCAACTCTTTAAGAGATTTATTGTCTTTCAGGCCATTAGGCAACCTCTCCAGTCGATCACAGGTGTATACTTCCAAACATTCAAGATTACAAGGTAGCATTTGATCATCTTCTACCAAGTACACAAGTTGGGGACACCCCCAGATATACAGGCGTTGGAGACGGAAAAGGTCTCGTGGTGTAATCCCATTCTCCCACAAAGACACCAGTGTTGCACAAGAACCAATTTCAAGAACTTGGAGTGATACCAAGAACTGCAAAAACTCTTTATGTCGATGAGTTAGTCCCAAAATCTTCTGAATTTTCAAGCTAGTTAGTGTGGTTAATTCAGAAAAACTTTCTAGTACCACCTCCCTACAATTTTCGATCTCTAGTTTCCTAAGAGAGGGGAGCCTTAAGAGTGAAACACTTGCCAATTTAGGACAGTTGCGCATAGTAAGCTCCCGAAGGCAAGGGAAATGGTTCCCTACAACCTCAGCACCAGTATCAATAGACCATTCCTCCCATTCTGGCATCTCCTCCAACCTTAGAATCTCGAGTGACGGAAATGGAATCTTCAAGGCATTACCATCGCCATAGAATTCAGTACCCACGCTTTTTGTTGCATCCATGCCTTCTATGTGCAGTTCTTTGAGCAGGGGTAACTGACCAACTGGTGGAAGGAACACACATTTTGTACAATCTTGAAGATGTATGTACACTGTTTTAGAGAATGACGGGTCCCCAATCCAACTAGGAAATGTTATACCCCTGTAGAACTCAATTTTCAGACTTACTCAATTTTCTATGAGGTTGTAGCATGTCAAGTACATCAATTTGTAGCCCTTCATTTTGAGAATGTTCAACGTCTCTACCCCATTTCAATTCTAATTCATCAAGATTCTGCTTATGATTTAAATTCGCTTCCTCTGCATCCCGCGCATCCTTAACATTTTCCAACCCTACAATGGAAAGCATCCCTCGCACATGCAACAGGCTGTTCAAATCTCTCAGCCCTAATCCATTACTTCTGCCCACAAAAATCTTTGGCAATGTTTGCAAATTTGTCAATTTGCCAATCCCAGTGGGCATCTCTTGCAGTTGTCCAGTATTAGCATTGTCAAGATGGCCAAGGTTAACCAAATTTCCAATGTTAGATGGCAACTTACAAAGAGCAAGACAATCTCGTAATGATAATGTCTGTAAATTGTACAGAGTACTCACCGATTCAGGCAACCATTGAATCATTGTGCGAGATAGATCAAGGTACCGAAGATGTTTTAAATCCCCGATTCAGTCAGGAAGCTCAGAGACTTGGTATCCACTCAAAGATAAGACTCNGGTAGCATTTGATCATCTTCTACCAAGTACACAAGTTGGGGACACCCCCAGATATACAGGCGTTGGAGACGGAAAAGGTCTCGTGGTGTAATCCCATTCTCCCACAAAGACACCAGTGTTGCACAAGAACCAATTTCAAGAACTTGGAGTGATACCAAGAACTGCAAAAACTCTTTATGTCGATGAGTTAGTCCCAAAATCTTCTGAATTTTCAAGCTAGTTAGTGTGGTTAATTCAGAAAAACTTTCTAGTACCACCTCCCTACAATTTTCGATCTCTAGTTTCCTAAGAGAGGGGAGCCTTAAGAGTGAAACACTTGCCAATTTAGGACAGTTGCGCATAGTAAGCTCCCGAAGGCAAGGGAAATGGTTCCCTACAACCTCAGCACCAGTATCAATAGACCATTCCTCCCATTCTGGCATCTCCTCCAACCTTAGAATCTCGAGTGACGGAAATGGAATCTTCAAGGCATTACCATCGCCATAGGATTCAGTACCCACGCTTTTTGTTGCATCCATGCCTTCTATGTGCAGTTCTTTGAGCAGGGGTAACTGACCAACTGATGGAAGGAACACACATTTTGTACAATCTTGAAGATGTATGTACACTGTTTTAGAGAATGACGGGTCCCCAATCCAACTAGGAAATGTTATACCCCTGTAGAACTCAATTTTCAGACTTACTCAATTTTCTATGAGGTTGTAGCATGTCAAGTACATCAATTTGTAGCCCTTCATTTTGAGAATGTTCAACGTCTCTACCCCATTTCAATTCTAATTCATCAAGATTCTGCTTATGATTTAAATTCGCTTCCTCTGCATCCCGCGCATCCTTAACATTTTCCAACCCTACAATGGAAAGCATCCCTCGCACATGCAACAGGCTGTTCAAATCTCTCAGCCCTAATCCATTACTTCTGCCCACAAAAATCTTTGGCAATGTTTGCAAATTTGTCAATTTGCCAATCCCAGTGGGCATCTCTTGCAGTTGTCCAGTATTAGCATTGTCAAGATGGCCAAGGTTAACCAAATTTCCAATGTTAGATGGCAACTTACAAAGAGCAAGACAATCTCGTAATGATAATGTCTGTAAATTGTACAGAGTA